GTACCGCAGTACGGACAGCATCGAAGTCCCCAAAGACTCGTCGAATCGCCTGTTTGAATCCTCCCCAAGACCTGAACATGGCCTTAGTTACAGTCATGTCTCCTCCATCGTTGTCGAAGAAGTCTTCGAGGTGAGGTTGGGCCCATTCTAGCGCCGGTCCCCTGAGGTAGGAGACAGCGAAGATCGAGCGGTAGCTGTCGTCGTCCTCGAACTTCTCTTTGTTGAAATTGAAGTAGATGTCAATCTGAAGAAGGAACAAGTCAAGTTCCTGTCGTTTTCCGTTGTACGTGTCAGGCATCTTGACCTTGATGTTCTCGAGTGCCTCGACCTTGTACGGGTCAGGTGCATCTGGCATGCTGTCGTCGTCGTCGTTGTAGTCGTTACTGACGTCCTTTCCGGCTGACGGAGACGTGTTGAGGTTTGTCGTAGCAGTCCCTCCTGAGGTCCCTGGGAGGTTGACTCGGCTAGCCGAGGGGCTGGTGGCCGGTCCTGCTGCTGGCGGGGTGGTGGGAGCCATGGTGATAGTTTCGACTTAAAGCAGGTGCTCAAAGTGTAACGAATACTCAAACTGGCTAACTAAACTTGGCTGGGTGTTCGCTGGTTGGTATGCTATGATAAGAAGAAGACTATCGGGTTGTTCACTTGGAAGTGAACTCGTTACTCGTATCAAAGATGTCAAACTAATATGATAAGATTGATAACTAAGTTGAGCACGAAGCTCCTATCTAATGGCAGACGTGCCAGTCTTATATAGAACCTTCGTTCTCTCGATGTTCGCTCATTCGACAATCGAACTGGCTAACTTCGCCTGTTCGCCCGGCTAACTGGCGAACTCCTAATATCACGTGATAACAATACAGAGAAATCCCCGGATCGCTTAGCTACTCCCAACGATCCCTATTTGCTATAAGAAACCTGGAAGTGCCTTTCGAGGGTTGCGCCTCTTATTATGACAAGTATCACGTGAACACGTGATTCGTGACAAGGTAAGAGAATAAAGAGGTTTAAGTTATGTAAATTAGATAAGATTAATAGAGAGACGTATATAGTTCAAATAAGCTATATAAATTAATCGGGCTTTAGATTAATATTAGTATAACTATATCTTATAAAAGATAATAATAATAATTATTAAATTCTAGTAGTACCTTCATAATAGGTTGATAAAAGACTACTCTAAACTATCCCTAAACCCGAAAACTTAAGGCCTTATAACTAACCGACGCTTACTCTACTAGCTTCTACTACTTTAACTTCTTAACTATTACTTATAAAGAGAGGACTAGGATAACCTTAAAAGGAGAATAAGAAACAAGGACTAGAGCGACCTCGACAAGAGACTTTTTACTTATTATAAGATAATAAACTAATAGATAAAACAAATGCTATAAGTAATATCGAGATTAATAGATTAACTAATTAATGTGTAGATAAGATTTGTAGCGAAGACTGCTACTCTTTCGGCCTAACCCTCCTCACCCCAAAGGTATCCCCTCCTCCACAGAGGCATATATTTTGAATTCGAAGGGGCAAGTAATTGATTTCAAATGTGCAATTAAGCAAGAGAAAAGGGTACAAAATAATATATATATAGAATGTGGAAAATTCCACCGATCTTAATCCCTAGTACACAAAGAAGTTTGTCGCAGTTTTGCCAAGTTGGACAAGACTCACGAATGACCACCTAAGAGCTGCAAGCAGGGTTGGAGAAGAAACAAAAGCATATCCAACTTGAAGCTTAGATGAACATCCGATTCAACGACCCAGGTGGATATTTCTGGGTTGCTATATAGGCGGTATAAGGCACCTAGTACCACTGCCATACAGTCTCGCCGGCAAATGAAAAGACAGCAAAGGTTTCTTTGGTGGAAACATTTTGTTATACATTTACTTGGTAGTGGAATTTGGGCGTTGAAAGTATGTTCGTCGGATCACTACTCATTGCTTTTGGGTTACATCATTCATCTACCCCTCTATCTCTATAGTCTGAACTCAGGGCCCACTGTCTGGTCCATATATTCATTCCAATCTTGTTGCCACTTGTCACTGGTAGCCCAGCATGTAGTGTAGCATGGTCCCCAGTCCCATTTCCTGCCAGGTTCTGCCAAAATACAGCATTGCCAGATACCGGCCGAAATGTGACACCATTTTCCCACGGTTCGTCACAATCAATATACTCACACCAGCGTTCCTCTCTAGGCGCATCTAGCATAGGAAAATTGGTTCCCCCGCCAGTAATATTCGATACGGCAATATATGCGAAGAATGAGGTCTCTCGATTCCCTCCTACTTCCGCCGTATTTTGCAATTCTGCCTCGAACCAATCTGTATGGGGATGGTATTCCTCGCCGGTTCCGTATTTGACAAGCTGGAGGGGCTCTAAATGGGAACGTGGGATATCGAATCCCTGGAAAGAGAGAGCTCGGTTCTCAATACAGCGTACGATATCGTCTCGAGGAACTGATGCTGATTGTGAGGTTCGTGTTTGGCGTTGGCCTTTGGTGCCAGCTTCATCGGCGACCGAGGATCGTGTAAATGAACTCTTGCTTCAGGAATTTAGCTCCCAATTCAAATCAAGAAAGTATGGAGTGGTGAAGGCATACGTAAGCTCTTGGACGTGCTGCCTTTCCTTTTCTGTCACAAAATCCGATATATAGATTACTAGCGGGCTTTTCGAAAGCACATGGATACGGTATGGTGGATCTTCACAAGGAGTGGATTGAAGGGCGGTCTGTCTTGATGTGCTCGCTGAACCTAACACAGCATGGGCTAGCAGGCTGATTACGGTAATGGCAGACAGGTGCGGAATTCGAGGCATCTTGAGGTTGAAAAGAGGACGCTTTGTGGAAGAATGGCGGGGTACTCGAGTACGATGCGTCGATACGAAATTTGGGATGAAGCTCATGAGAGCATCTCCACATGTTCGGCCAAGTTAACGTGAGGCACAGGAATCCTTGCAGCTGTCATGTTTCAGAAGATGCGATGGCATCATGGCATCCACGGGACGAAGCGTTTCTAATATAGAAATGGGAGACGATTGGTAGCATGGTGGAATTGAAGGGGGATTTCAGGGGTTTGTGGCTTCAAAATACGCATGGTACTGTACCAGGTACTGTGCACACGCTGTAATTAGGCAAATCTTTCATGCTTTGACCCCTCCAACGAAGCTTGTTTTTTTAGCGACCACCCCCCTTTTCTCTGGTGACGGCACAACGACGTTATAGAACCCAGATATTTTTATTTCATCACGACTTCATATCTCACCATCAATTGAAACTAAAATGCAGTCTTACTTCTTACTACTTGCTCCGAGGTATTTTACAGCGAGGGCAACTCACTGGGAACATGTGAAAAGCGTAAAATTACAAGCAATACTTGGAAAAAGAAAAAGGTAATGTGTTAGTAGCTTGTAAGTCCTAAAAGATATAGAATATAAATCTAAACGAAGCTTGTGAAAAGTAGTACCTATAGTCGTAGAAATGTAACTTCCACTTTAAGGAATAGGACTACGAACTAATTCTAGCCATCAAAATTAGCTAAATACGTAAGCGACTTCCAGTCTTGTTTTTAGTAGTAGAAACTCACAAATTATCAAGAGAGGTATAAATCTCTAAAGCCGGAATATAATATAATGAAAGCAAATAACAGATTATAGTGTTCTATTCTATACTTTAGAGGAGAAAGCGGAGTTTTTTTTAGGTATTTAGTAAAACCATCATAAGATTATCTCATGCCGTAAAACGCTGGTTGGGCAATGGCTAAATGAAAGGAATGAAGTTCTTTGAATATGCTTTTGTTATCTAAAACAATAACAATGCAAGGCTTTGATGGGACAATAGATTCTTCTGACCAAGCGACAAAGCGAGTCATAAACAGAAGATTACGTTGGGTATAAATGAAAGCCCACATCCATAGATATCGCCCATTATATTCCACAAGCAGCAATATCGACAACATAACTCAACCACAAATACAACTACTAAATCATCTAGACGCCCAAAAAAACCCATCCACATGCCTTCAACTTTTACATCGCTCCCTCACGAGATCTGACAGATGATTCTCCGCGAGTATCTCTCCGTTGAGAATAACTGTGCATGGAAAGAATATCGCATGCATGCTGAAAAGAGTGATTACACTGAAGGTTTAGGTTGGCATGTGCCATCCGAAATCTTCACGGTGAACAAGCAGATTTCTACAGAAGCCCTTGAAGCATTTCACAAGGAAAACACGTTGGTACACCTATCCACAAACGACTGCGACTTTATCAACAGGTATGTCGGTAAAGTTATCCCTTTACTATTTGTTGGCAAGAGGGAAGAGGAACCATACTTGATAGATAGGAAGGACCCCAGCCTTCCATCTACAGCACTCCATATTCATCTCGACCACGGTGAGAAGGAAGATGGTGAGGTGTTAGACGATGATGAAGATGATGAGGATTACAGTCTGGAAGCATACGGTTTTGCACCATACGTCTTTGATGACGAATACCATAATTATGAGCAATATGCGAATGATGATTCCACCGATGGTGAAGAATCCACCGATGGTGAGGAATACCCCGATGAGGAAGAGGGCGATGAAGAAGCCGTCGAAGAAGGCGGCATCGAAGAAGTCAGAAATCGGAAACCGCAAGCTTGTACAAATGATACATACCGTCATAAACACCGTCATAACGTTCTCTTCCCAGCTAGATACTTGCAAAGATTCGTCCAACTTGTCAACGCAGTGTGTAGTTCAAGCTGCGAGAACAGTGGGCACGGAGCACTAGCAATCTGTGGGATAACCTTTGACTTCGAGGCATCCGGAAATCGATATGCTCAAGATATCGGTCTGGCAAAGAAGATGGCCGAGGACTTATACGGTCTTAGATCGAGTAACAAAATCAGTAGAGGTTTCATCAGATATGGCTGCATCAATGAACAATACCGACAGCCCAAATTTTACCCCTTGGAGATCCGTATGGAGGGTCTGGACTCTGAAACCGAGCAAAAGCTCCAAGAAGCTTCAAATCTACCTCCGTGGAATCAAAACAAGTCACGGGAGGAGGCGCAACGTCTAAAGCTTCAAGGGGATCTTTTTCAAAAGCAGAAGAGGCATATCGATGCACGGTCCACATACATCATAGCTGGTTTAATGATGTCTGCGTGGGGCTTTGACAGACTTCGAGGGAAAAATGAGCATCGCCATTTTGGTAAATCTGGTGGGAATGCTAGTAAGGGTACTACTACCTTGGCTGGAATCTGGTTGGGCGCCTCTAGATCTCTCAAGGTACTCTCGCAAGGGACCAAAGGAACCTGCCTGCACAAATTGCAGCTAATCCACCCCTCTCGAGATCCTTATGAGGATACTTATCTTAATAAGAAGTGTTACCTTCACAAAGAGGGTAACCTTGACGAGGAGAGATACCTCCGAGCAAAGTGGTGTGAAGAGAAGTGCGCCCTCGAGGCCAAGGATTCTGAAGAGACGGTTGAACGGAGACTTCTAAAAAAGGTTTTCAAAGAGGCATGTAAACCATCGCTGGATCAGGTGTGCCACTCCTGCAAGAAGCAGCTATGGTGGAGTTACAATAGAGCGTGCGCAGCGAAGACTATCATCCGTCGCATCTATGTGCCTACCGGATTTGCACAGAATCCGGTGCGTTTCTTTGCTGAGGTAGCCGATCCACAATACCGCAAAGCAGAAGAGGCATACATGGACTACTGTCGCGAACGTATCGACCACGGAGAGGTCAACGAGGCCAAAGAAATGTTGAAGTTTGTCTTGGGTAGTTGGAAGTTGGCCGAGTCTATGCAGCTTCAGGATATGCTTGCCGACATTGTGTCTCGCTTTCCCGACCTCCGCACAAGACGTCGAGCAAAAAGGACAGAGCGAAAAGAAGTCCAGAACCTGGAGCCAAAGCAGACTGACGTTACGATGGGAGCCATGCCCGAAGACACTTTCGCAGTGGAACTCTTTGAGGTATAGCACTTCCACCCTGATGGTGTTAGAATCAAAGTTCCCTCCTTATTTCGACACTTTGTAAACTAATGTAAAGCGTAACGTACTTCAATTCCTAAGCTTCTCCAAAATCCCCTGAAAATTAACCTAAAGACAGTTAAATCAATTCCCCAGCTCCATAGAACCCCTATAAATACAATTTAGTAAAATACAATTGTTTCCCGCTCGTTGTTTCGTCTGTTACATAGTGCGTTTGAATGGGATAATCTGTATGTGAATCCAAGTGTACGGGTACCTAGTAAATTAAAGTATTTCTTAACTGTCCCAATGAATCGACAAAGAAATATGGGAAGTAAATATCCTCCGAAGTCAAGTAAATATATAATTCGGAATGATATACAGTTGGTCAAAGAGTCGTTGAGGTGGAAGAAATTCGTCACTCTTCGAAAAATCAACAATTGACCAAGCAAAACTATAAAAGTCATCAGTCACTCGAAACTCTATGAACCCAGAGCAGCTGCTTCGTCGGAAGCAACCACAATTTCAGCTCGTATTCTGCAGCAAAAGACTTTTTAGCAATAATCCATACACACATGACAAGGAAGATGAAGAATACGTCCATTTTGACAATTTCAACTTCTTTCTTTGGATCTCATTTCATTTCTGCTCATGCTACTGATTATGAAAAAAGGGCTTCCATGTTAGCCTCCGTCAAAGCAAAAAAAGATGCGAGAGAAATAAGGGACGCTGGAAGATAAAATCACCGCCCAAAGGCCTTGTGTGATACTTGCGAAAGTCCCACCATCATCACCCCCCTAAAAGCAAATTCATCCCCATTACCATCACGACGAATCTAGAACTCTTCCTCGCCCGTTGTTTGGTAAATGTGTCGACTTCTCGTAGGATCTTTGCGCATGGTTTGGCCAGAACCCGTGAAGCCCACTGTCATCCAGTTAGCATCATTCGCGAAGAGGGAAGAGGCAACGTGCCTCGACCATGAACGCCTTCTGGTGTACGGAACATGCTGTCCTTCTTGCCGGCCTTGCCGAATTTGCCCTTGGCGGCAAAGTCCTGCCACTTGTTCTTGCCAGCTTCCAATTCCTTATTTGCCTTGATCTTCTTGGGGACTTTGGCGGGCCGTACGGGGCCATCACTAACCTTACTGGGCTCGCGCTTGGTCTGTTGCGCGAGCTCGGGATTGATGTCGGGTGCGGCCGAGATGACATTCGCCGGCGTGGCGGGAGGTGCTGGAATCGAGGCTGCGACTGGTGTTCCATCAGCTTTGCGCTTGTTGGGGTTCACAATGGGTTTGATATCCTTGGCTCGCAGCGTCTCGGTGGTATCGTAGCTCTTGAATTTGACAATGTACACCGGCGCCGTCGATGAACCCGTGATGGAGGTGATGCGCGCCGGATAGAAGCCCTTGTCCCCCGAGTGCCACTTCGCCAGCACCGTGTCGTTGACCGAGAACTTGGTTGGGACATCGGTATCGTCGGATGCGAGGGGGGCTGCGACGGCGGCGGCTGCTGCGTTCTTCTTGAAGGCGGGGTGATCCTCTCGCGACCATTTCTCCTTCACGGCCGGCTCGGACTTTTTGCGTCCCGCGGCCGCTGCTGCTACTGGCACTGAAGAGGGCTTTAGTTCTGCGATCGAGGCTTCGGTGAGGGAGATGACTTGTTCGATTTCAGTCTTTAATTCCTGAAGCTCTGCGCTATTTGGGTCTGCCTGGAGGCCGAGTTGGATGGTCTCCAACTGCGTGAGGGTAGAGGTTAGTGATCGACCATTGCAATGATGAGCTTAGGGCTTAGAGGAAGGGCACTCTATGGCTAGGGCTAGGGCTAGGACTATACGAACCTGCAGTTTATATTCCTTGATCTCATTTTCCAGGGCTGCGATTTCACTACTTCTACTCATCGTGATTAGGTCTTCTGCTTTGGTGGGTCGGATCGGTCGATGATAATGTCGCTAGTCGCTACAGGCGCAGGAGACTGGCAGATGGGAGAAAGGGGAGATGGTAGAGAATGGAGAGAAGAGTTTGGTGACTTTTGTGGTTGCGACTGCGATTGCGACTCGGGGATGGTGTCTGATTGAGCGAGCGGCGTTATTTTGGTGAGTTGAGGTTGGAGCTGCAGTTGGGTGAGGGTATGAATAGTCGGAAACAGGAACAGTCTAGTTATGACGCCGCCCATTGCGGGTGAACGTGGATTTGGAGTGGAGATTAGTAAGCAAGGCTGTTGTTTTCAATATCAACGCCACTCAGATTTGGTGGGCGAGGCTGGCCACTAACTGTGGGTACGTGGGGCTTAGTAAGAAAGGCTGCGGGCTGCCTCTATCAATTCCAATGCCACGCTGGAGCCACTCAGGCTGGCACGGCTGGCCACCGCAGCCTCGGGCTAAGGTCATCTCAAGTACTTCACCACCCACCATCTTGTCAAGAAACATCTCCCAGCAACAACAACCCAGCACCGTGCCTACTTGATCCTCCACCATGCAGGGCTTCAATATGGGACGTTATGTCCCTCCGGACCAAGAAGGTATCATGAGTGGGAACCAGCTTCACGGCAAAAATGCACTGGGAGCTCGCGCCAACAAAATCGCCCAAGGGATTCTGACGGTGCGCTTCGAAATGCCATATCCCATCTGGTGTACCACATGTCCCAAGCCCTCCATCATCGGCCAGGGGGTGCGTTTCAATGCGGAGAAGAAAAAAGTGGGAAACTACTTCTCATCGCCCATCTACAGTTTTCGGATGAAGCATGTTGCCTGTGGTGGTTGGATTGAGATCCGTACAGATCCAAAGAATACGGCCTATGTCGTCACCGAGGGCGCACGAAAGAGAGATCTGGGAGAGGATAAGGTGATGGACGGCGATGTGAAAATCATGACCCAGGCAGAGCGAGAAGCCATGCGGGACAATGCTTTTGCCGCGCTGGAAGGCAAGGTCGAAGACAAGAAGAGGCTGGAGTACAGTAAGAAGAGACTGGAAGAGTTACAAGACCTGTCGGAGCAGCAGTGGGAAGACCCTTATGAGCAAAATCGAAGACTGCGCAAATCTTTTCGCGCAGGTAGAAAGGAGAGGGAAGCCGCCGCCGGTGTGACCGCCGCTCTGCAAGAAAAGATGAGCCTGGGTCTCGAGCTTCTACCGGAACATGAAGACGATGCAAAGAGAGCGGCCTTCATCGAATTCGGTGAGTTGGATTCTAAAAGAGGTATTGAAAAGGCTATCAGCAAACCACTCTTCGCCGAGAAGGAGCCTCAGATGAAAAGCAGCATGGCCAAACAGGCCAAAGGAAAGCTGAAAACTGAGAAACTCGCTGAGCAAAGAAGAGCTAATATTGCAGCCGAAATACGAGGGAATACGAGGGCCGCCATGGACCCTTTTCTGCCAGGTTCAAGAACTCACGCAGACTCAAGCTCGAAACTTGTGCTTGCTGGTGTCAAGAGGAAGAGGCCGGGCCCTGAGATGATTTCTCCACCAGTAGATGTGTCAGAAACATCGAGGGCGCCTACAGCTCTGGTCGACTACGACTCTGACTAACCATATCATATGAATGGCGATTTCAAAATCAAGGCCGTGATGCAGACAGTGTCTATGGGAAAACATTGGGCTGCGACCCAACGGAATGGACTTGGCGTTCTGGGAGGAAAACAGGTCGGCGTGCCTCGATGATACCCACTATTTGCTTATCTCTACAACCAAACGCTATGGTTCATCCGATGTGTAAGTGTGATGATAGGGCTGCATTCCTTGCTTATGGGAACGCCGTCTATGAAACTCGCGCCCTGTCGGTTGCATTTACACAACATGGCTGATGATGCTCCCTAATACATTCGAAGCCACAGTGAAAGTACGGCTCTGTACCACACAGGTGATTAATTATATGTGGCTTTCTGAAACGATTCTTGTTGGCCCAAAATTCGGTTGGCTCACATTACCTGTGGTCGATTTAATGCTACTATCCAAGTCGGACAAACGTAATATCTGCATGAATGCTGTGGCACATGAGGACCCGATCGCCTCAAGAGAACCTGATGCAGGTTCGATATACTAGTTAGAAACTGGATTCCAACCCACATCAGCGGCACATTGCTCTTGTTACCGAGGACGTCACGTTATCGACCAACGTCAAAGAGACAATAGGCTTGCTGAGTATTTGGTGTTAGTTTGTGGTGTATATACATGAATGCTCGAGTGAGTGTATCTACTACAGCTTCAAAAAAGACCCTCCAAATCACATACGCCCGCTAAAAGAACCGCCCCGGCCCCTTTTCCTCATATTCTCACAATACACAACCATCCTATGTTTCCCTCAAAGTATCATATTTCAGCCCCGTACAAGCAAAGATACTCTCGATCCCATTAAGAGAATGTCCATATGTACTCCTCATCCACTCATAATGCCATTTCATGTCACCTCTCGACCCTCACCTCTGTTGTCCTCAAAATCCCCTCCCCTTTGCTGTCCCTCTTCCTCCTATCCCCCCGACTCCTTGCCCGCTCCCTCTCCCTCCTCACAAACGCCATCCCCTCTTCCTCCGCATGTTCTTCAAGTTTTTGTATCTTACTCATCCCACTACTTCCCAAACTAGCCCCACTATTCTGTCGGCCCAGACTGATCTCCTCTTCGCGACTACTCGCCCGACTGGGAGCATTAAGTTTAACCGCGTATGCACTACCCAGCGAGTGCGGCGATGGTGGTTTAATGATACTGCACGTGCTCACACTCATCCCATCCCTCTCCCCCTTCTCCAACCCTCCCATGGCCCCCTCTCTCTCACTTGCTATCTCGGAGCCAAATCTATATCCCCTGCTATCATTTTGTATCACCCTAATATTACTCTTCGATGTTCGGTGTGTGTTGGATGTTGATAAGGATTTGTTATCGAGGATTGATGCAAACAGTGGACGGAGTGTTGGGAGTGAGGCAGCGAGGATTCCGATGTTTAGCTCTACGTCATTCCAGACGTTGAAGGCGTTGTTGAATAGAATGTCACGATTGGTGAAGAAAGAAGAGAGGAGATATTCTTTTATTATTGCTGCGGCGCAAGCGCTGTGTGACTGTCAGTCGCTGCATGAAGATAGATGGAAGGGAAAAGGACTTACGCGTATCCCAGGCCGAGAATGCAGATTAGAAGAATTTTTGTGCGGAGGTTTATTTTCAGAGGGAGTATCACGGGAATGGGAAGCGTGGCGAAGGCAAAATCTGTGAATATGTTGACAGCTGAAAGAGAATGTCAGAATACATCAAAAGCTAGGCTTTGAGATCAACTGACCACCGTTGAAGAGTCCGATGCTTGTGAATATTCCAATCTCGTAGCATTTTGCATGAACTCTGAATCTCAGCTCAAAATCCCACGCTGCTTCCACAGGGAGACACTGAAAAATTCTGATGTTGTTAGGAACTTTTAAAGGAGGTTAGAGTTAGGTGATTATGGACTTACAATGTTCCAACACATGCTAATGTGAAGATCACAAGGAATATCATCCATGCTATTATAAAACGCTGAAGACTTATTAGACTTGAAGAACGTAATAGCCTTGATAGCAAACGTACTTTGTACCACTTTCCCTGAACCAATCTCAGAAGAAAGAATCCTACAGATAGTTTGACACAAGTGATACCGGTTACAAGAATCCATCCATGGTGGTAACTGTAGTGCATAATGTCCGCGTAGTTCCTTAGCTGATGGAGATTTCCAAAGTGTTCTCCCACCCCAAGATGAACTTCGATAACGATGAATACAAAAGCGACAAGAGAACATAGCTGAGACCAGATTAGCGATAGACTAGAGGTGGTTGATCAACATACCATAGCAACAAACATTAAATAATCGTCCGTCCCTAATGTATTGAGAATCGCCGTCCTCACATACAACCTCAAAATAACCACGGCACAAGCAAAAGTAGTAAATGATCCAACAACCCCAAGAATCATCTGTCCATGACTCTCAGGTGACACCGGCGGGAACTCATAAGGGACGGGAGCAGGGGTCGTTTGTCGTGGTAAGAACATATCAACACCACAAGAGAAAAAAGCAGACGTCCACAAAGGAACCGGAATTTCCCAGAAATTCGATATATATTCAGAAGAATTGACTCGCTTGCGGGGAACGAAAGATGCCTTGCGTCTGCAGCCCCCTTCTATATATTTCGCCCTCCCTGGTATTTGCGGTTGATATTATAGATCCGATCTATAGCTCGATCGACACGAGGGCCAATATGAAATTCCTAGAGTCATTCCCCCAAGAGAAGGAAATCTGCAGGTTGCTTGCCGGCACTGGGCGCCCCGGGGTTTTCGTAACTTCAATCCATGCGAAAGGGCAACTCGGGAGATGCAGAACTTATTTTGATACAAGCAGGCAGATGTTAATGTAGATTTGAGGGATGCTGGGCCATGTATCCGGGAAGCTATGCTTATTTGAGTGGACTATTCCCTCGCGTCTGGTGCGACGAACAGAGATAGCGGTGCACGAAATCGACCTGGCTATCAAGCCTCGACTTCCCATGATCTGCAACCCTACGGGAGTTGGAGTGCTCATGAGGCTAACCATATCCCCTGCCCTCCCTTTTCCCATGCACGAACAACCACCGAGCGCAGGGTTGTCTTTCCCGGTTGCGCATTCTCACAGCCAACGGTCCCAACACACTCGATGCCTCACGGTAGGTGGATCGGAAGCATGGAAGGTTAGGGAGGGTGCATAGGCTGATTGTTCTTTCTTCCGAAATGCGGGGTGAACCCTGGAATGCACCACAGGCGATACTGAGCAGCATCTAGCCAGTCAGAGAGAGCCAAGATGAATTACAGCCTGTATCATGAGAAAATGATAAATGCTCAAAGCGAACATTAATCAACCACGACAGATACCGACCTAGCTTCTGACCACCAAAAGTGCGTGGTGATTGTGCTACTTGGAAGATCTTGAAGTGGTGGGTGGTAATTGTAACGCACTTACTTTAGTCGAACGAGGTATTTGATATTTGAGAATCTCAAAACGGTGACTACTTGATGAGCGGCGCACGGCAGAGGAGAAGCGAGAACCTTTCTTCATCTTAGAAATGGATTGGAACTAGCTTTTACGAGATCATCATCTGTGGCTGACCGCTTCCGTCCATCTGGTTTTCCAGAAGAATCTTTGCAAGTAAACCAACCATATGGTCCGCATAAGATAAGAAGCCTCAATTTCTTTCCGGAAGATTATGTGCAGAATCGTAGCTTAGTTGTATCTCAAACTCAGTTGAAGCACCCGTGTGTGTCGACAATACTTCAAGAGTTATGTGGCTGGGTCTCGAAATCGTCAGATAATCAGATAATCAGATAATAGCGGGGCTTGCAGTGACCGAGATGGACAGGGGGCCATTTGGCCGAGCCCGGCCCGCCATTTCCAAATACAAAAACCAAAAGCGGCATCAACCTTCTTCTTCAAGACCTTAAAACATGAATTCTACACCAGATTCAAAAGGAGCCGCTGGATATATACGCATCGGTGGAAATCATAACACACCCTAGTGTGAATCCTCAGAATTAAATGCCTGCCAAGTATAATATGATGATCTTATTCCAGAATCTGGTAGGTTAGCTTGGTGTTATAACACGTGACTGGGTTCCTTATCCCACCCTTTTTGCGCTCGTCTATTCTCGCCAATGATGAGCCGCGCCAAACTTTGAGCACACAAGTTGTAAATTGAATCTCGTACCGGCTTATACCATGCCAATAATATGTGCCTACACGTCACCAGGGAAGTGTTCCTGTTAGGCCGCGAAAAGCCAAAATCTTGTGCACGAGAGAGTTGTTAAATGAGCGACGGAACGAACTCGAAATAAGAACAATAGAAGGAATGTCAAAGGAGAAAATGTATGGAACTAAATTACTCACTAGCAATGGAAATCGCTTGAAAGAACTGAGAATGCGTTCACATCCATCCACAGAGACGGTTCGACGCCTATTAATAAAGCTTCGTATTTGATTTCGTGGCGCTCATCCCAAAGTATACAAACGAGGCGAAGGCCTGCATAACCCGGTTCTTGACCCACAAACCCAGCAATTCCCTGCAAGGTATTATTTAGCGACTCCAATTCAGGTGGCAACTACTATCTCAGTGACAGGATTTCATATTTTAGCATATCAAGGACATGAGAGCCTCTTCATTCTTGCCGTCGTTGCATTCCTGACACGATTGTTACGCTATGAGTACCAGAAAGAGCAATGCCACTGCATTTCACGAAAAGTTCAATATTGCGAAGTTTGTTGTGGGTGGTTACCGGCTTCTTCTGTGCAGCTGGGTGCATCTATTGTGTGGCCTAGACTGGTATTTGCAGATGATGGTGGCCTAGCTTTGCGAGACATTGACATTGTGCATCTGGGCAAGACCACATAAAAGATCCAGATGGAGGTTATCTTGTTACCTGGTTTTCGCAGGTTGTGACTTGTTACTTCGACTTATCATCCAATCTTGGATAATGTTTTCTTTCTAAGGTAGCGAGTTTCGTCTTATTCTCAAGATAGTATCGTAACCCCCCTGCTGGGGATCAATGTGTTCCAGATCGATAGCATGGTACATTCTAAAGTCTCCGCCGTACAGTCGAACCCAGGATCTCCGGGCAGGAGTTTGTGGTAATAATGGGGCACAAGGCCTATCAACCAAGGATACTGAAATCTGATGACGCTGTTAGGGTTAGGGTTAGGGTTAGGGTTAGGGTTAGGGTTAGGGTTAGGGTTAGGGTTAGGGTTAGGGTTAGGGTTAGGGTTA